TATATATATATATATATATATATATATATATATATATATATATATATATATATATATATACATATGTTCCAGCAGTAAAAAACTCTTCACGAGCTTAATTTATTCAGACACCATTTAGAGAAACATTTACAGTCAACATGTTTCTGTTTATTTAATTAATTTTATTTAGTTTGGGATTAGTATAGCATTTTTGAATTTAAGTAAATTAAACATTAGAGGGAAGGAGTCTTTTTAAACGATATATATAATATTTAGTTTCTAATAAACATGCTTATCTGGAGGATTAACTCACTTAATTTCTTATTTATCTTCTGTATATAGTATCGGTTGTAAACAAACAATTATTGTTTATTTTAACTTGACAATCTATATACTCATTATTGAACTGATTTATTTAGCTGTAATTCATTGAATCAATGTTTATTAAATAAAATTTATGCTTCAGCAGTATTAATGTTTACTTTTTGCTCTTATGTGAAGTTGTTATGAAGTAGGAAACAATGAGCGGGTTCCCCGTTTCCACTCGGAAGCTTATTCTAGTTGCACTATTTCAAATAATAAAGGCAGAAAATGCGTCCGCGGAGCAAACTGACTCCTTGGATCGAGAATCTGATCATGAGCTACGGAAGCCGGGAGGATCCACCCAGCGGCCACCTGAAGGCTCATGTCATCGGGGTGGGTCAGATGAGCGAGTCCCAGGCTCCGGCTACCGATGGCCCGACAGGACTGCTCTTCCTGTCTGACGGATCGCTCCAGATGCCCGCAGTGCTCACTGCCTCCGCCTGGGAGACCCTCCAGGAGCAGGAGGATCGGGAGTCGTTCAGCAGCCTCCCGAACAGCACCGTGATCCTGAAGAACTTCATGCTGCAGTTCCACATGGACCCGGAACAGACCAGATGCTGGTTCTTCCTGTCAGTGGGGGAGATGGCCACCTTTGCTGCGGGTCCCGTTAAAGACAGCCCGCCCTGCTGCACCAGCCTGGCATCCGTTAGGATGAAGATCTGCAGAACCTGGAGGTCTCTGCTGGGTCAGGAGGACTCCCAGTCAAGCCAGGGTGGAATGGATCTGTCCGAGCTGCTGGGGGCGTGGCAGCACGACTGTCTGCAGACCCTGCTGGAGGACGTCAGGAAGAAGCTGCTGGCTCTGAGGAGCCCCCAACCCTCCACCTCTGCTCCCAGCCTGTCCCTGAGCTGCTCCACCCGCTGGGACCTGGACCGGGTCAGGTACAGAGGACAGCCCAGCTTCAGCATCCCAGAGAGGTTTCTCCTCATTCCAGAGGGAGATGCTGGAGCTACAAGGCAGGTGGAGGCAGAATGCCGGAAACCCGAGCCTGCAGGTGGAGGGATGGGATCCCGTCCAGATGGAGGGACGAGAACCGGTCCAGCTAGAGGGACGGGGTCCAGTTCAGCTGGAGAGATGGGGTCTGGTCCAGCTGGAGAGATGGGGTCCAGTCGAGCTGGAGAGACGGGATCCGGTCCAGCTGGAGAGACAGGGTCCATTCCAGATGGTCCAGCTGGAGAGATGGGGTCCAGTCCAGCTGGAGAGATGGGGTCCAGTCCAGCTGGAGAGACGGGGTCCGCTCCAGTTGAAGAGACGGGGTCCGCTCCAGGTGAAGAGACGGGGTCCGCTCCAGGGGAGCATTCTCCTTCTCTGATGGAGGATGACCCTCCTCTGCCGGACCTAGCTGCCATGCTTCCCTCCAATCCTTGGGACATCTACCCCCCTCCAGACGTCAGCTTTTGCTCCTCAAATTCATCTCCAGACTCGACTCCAACCCCGCCTCGCGCCACTCCAGATTGTGTTGCCAGGGCAACCAGCACACAGCCTCCCATCCACAGCTTTCTGCCTCCCTACCAGAACCAGCCTCTCATCAGTCTTCCAGCTTCCTCTTCATCAACAAGCCCAGCAGAACCTCAAGCATCAGATGGAGCAAACGCCCAGAACGGCCAGGAGGACGATACTCAGGCGAGCTACAGGAAACCCAAGAGGAAGCGCTGTGAGGAGGCAGCAGTGGAGGAAGAGGAGGAGCTCAGCGGGGGGCCTCCATCCTGGCTCTTCGACTCCCAGATCGGAGCGTCCAGAAGCAGGGATGAAGACTGTCCAACACTGACCGACGCTGGAGCCGCCCTGAGAACGCCCCCCAGCGTTCACAGCGACGGCAGGCCATTCACATACTCCTACACAGTGACGGGTCAGAACCTGCAGGACTTCAGCCGGTTCAGAGTGGCTGCGTCTCTGCTGCACTGGGCTATGAGGTATCTGCTGAGTCCAAAACCACCATCAGAGAAGCCTCATAGTGCTGTCTGATGGGACACGTTCAGACGGTCAGAACACCAACCAGAAACCGGCTCCTTCCTCACCTCGGGCAGATTTATCCTCAGGAGGGCACATCTCTGGATAAATTACATCCCATCCAAATGTTCTGCTTTTAGGAGTTTCATAAAAACGTAGGCAGCACTTTCATCTTGAACAAGGTGACCTGAATATTTGAAGCTCTTTATATTTTGGGCTTGTGAAGATGTTGGAACCAGAAGGACGTGGACTTGATACTTTCTTGGAGTTTGAAAATGTTCATCAAAGAATAAAAATGCTAAATATTTTTACCTTTGACTTTTTTTTCAATGTTTTTTTAAGATGCAGAAGATATCCCAACAATCTGATGGATAAATGGTTAAGGGCTGAAGTTAAACCTTCTGTGACAGGGTTTTCTAACCCCACATTAATATAATACCGATGCTCCAAAGTCAAACTGAACTTTTTAAAGGTAATTTTAAAATACCAAAGTTTCCAATAGTTAGTCAAAGACTTGATCTGTGATAAAAGTTTATTTATCTCACAGAAACTTGACTGCAAGAGGATTGTGAGCATCTAGTTATTTAAATTTTCACATACCCAGAAATTCTAGGTGAGGAGGAAGAGTAGCAATAAGTTACTAATTACAACTCTTTTGAACATTTAACCCTTAGTTTCCCTCATCCAAATTGCAAACTAGGCAACAAAACCTCTTATTTTTGTGACTTTGATTCGTCCACGAGGTCCTTACCCTAAATGTTTAGATGACTTTTCAGAGGACCTGATTTAGTTTCAAATACTGACGAGGTCGTCATAATGGGGGATTCTAACCCTGTAATGCCAAATGTATCATATTTGATACAAACAGTTCCTGAAACGTTTTGCGTCTGACACCTTTTGCATAATTTAATGGTAAAAACTTTGCTCAAAATCCTATTGTACACAATCAGCTATACCTGATAACAGAGGGCAGAAGACTACACAAAAAAATAATCTTGACTTATCGCATAGTAATAAATTATATCAAAAATTTATTTGTTTTTTCTTTTTACATATTTTGTTTAAAGGCCAAATAAGGACTTCAAACCAAAAAAAAAGTAATTCTCTGTTTTGTTTTATTCTTGGATCGGGCTTTAAAGGGTTAACAACCATGCTGACATTGGAGATGATAGCTTAAATGCAGCTTTTAATGTAAAAAAGCATTCAACCATGCAATCCAGTCAAATATAACGAGATCGGTGGATATTCTCTCAGTTGACACTTTCTTTCTTTGCAAAGAAATTAAAACAAGACAATTATAGCCTTCACAACTTGAAGTTCTGCTC